GAGTCCCAAAATCCATGGAATCACAGCCAAAATCTGTGGGATCATGGCCAAAATCTATGGAATTGCAGCCACAATTTATGGATTTGCAGGCAGAATCCAGGGAGTCACAACCAGGGACACGGAGACGATCTGGAGCACAGGAGTCCCAAAATCTGTGGAATTGCTGCCAAAATCTGTGGAATCACAGCCAGAATCCGTGGAATTGCAGCCAAAATCTGTGGAGATGAAGCCAGGGCTGTGGAGATGGTTGTGGGCACAGGTTGGGGTCACAAGGAGTCCCAAAATCCATGGAATTGCAGCCAGAATCCATGGAATTGCACCCAAAATCCGTGGGACCACAGCCAGCAGTGGGGCACAGGGAATTCTGCCCCTTCCCACCTCTGGATCTCTCGGAATCTTCGCCCCTTTGCCTGATTCTGATCACTTTTACCATGGATATTTTCTGGGATTTATCCCTTTTCCTGCTGATATTTTCAGGGATTTATCGCTTTTCCTGTGGATAATTTCAGGGAATGATCCCTTTTCCTGCTGCCAGGAATGTGTGGCAGGAATGCCCGGGGCCATTCCAGGAAAAAAATTCTTTGGGAAGCAGTTCCAAGGATTCCCTGGAATCCCCTCATGCTGTTCTCCAAGTATTCCCTGGAATTCCCTCACCCTTTTCTCCAAGGATTCCACTGAATTCCCTCACTCCCTTCCTCCAAGTATTTCCCGGAATTCCCTCACCATTTCCTCCAAGAATTCCCTGGAATTCCCTCCCCTTTTTTTCCAAGGATTCCCTGGAATTCCCTCCCCTTTTTTTCCAAGGATTCCCTGGAATTCCCTCACCCTTTCCTCCAAGGATTCCCTGGAATTCTCTCACCCTTTCCTCCAAGGATTCCCTGGAATTCTCTCACCCTTTCCTCCAAGAATTCCCTGGAATTCCCTCCCCTTTTTTTCCAAGGATTCCCTGGAATTCCCTCACCCTTTCCTTCAAGGATTCCCTGGAATTCCCTCACCCTTTCCTCCAAGGATTCCCTGGAATTCCCTCCCCTTTTTTTCCAAGAATTCCCTGGAATTCTCTCACCCTTTTCCCCGAGAATTCCCTGGAATTCCCCGCCCTCCCCTGACCCTTTTCCCGGCGTTTTTTCCCTGCAGGACATCCGGAACACGGTGGGGAACATTCCCATGGAATGGTACCAGGATTTCCCGCACATCGGCTACGACCTGGACGGGAAGAAGATCTACAAACCCCTGAGGAGCAAGGACGAGCTGGACCTGTTCCTGGAGAAGATGGAAAACCCGGAATACTGGTGAGGAATTCCCGGGGAAGGGGCCTGGAAAAAGCTTGGGATAGCGGGAGGTGTCCCGTGGGATGGGGATGAGCCTTAAAATCCCAAAGAATTCCGGGATTCTGTGGATGTGCTTGGCACGTGGGGTTTGTGTGGGCTTGGAGTTCCCAAAATCCCCGGAATTCTGGGTTCTGGAGTCTTCCTGAGGTTTTCCAGGGTGATTCTGGATGTGTGGATTTGGCATCTGGCACAGAGCCTTCCTCCCTCCCATGCATCCTCAGCTGCATCCCGGGAATCCCTCTGCTTCCTGGGAATCCTTCTGCATCCCTGTCCTCATCCCAAAAATCTCTCTGCATCCCAGTCCCGTATCTCAGGATCCTGGTGTCCATCCTGGTGTCCATCCCTATCCCATATCCCCGTGTCCATCCCAGTGTCCATCCCGGGATTCCCATGCCCATATCCCAGTGTCCATCCCTATTGCACATCCCGGTGTCCATCCCCGTGTCCATCCCAGTGTCCATCCCGGCATTCCAATGCCCATATCCCAGTGTCCATCCCTATCGCACATCCCGGTGTCCATCCCCGTGTCCATCCCAGTGTCCATCCTGGGATTCCGATGTCCATATATCAGTGGCCATCCTGGTGGCCATTCCGGTGTCCATCCCTATCGCACATCCCGGTGTCCATCCCCGTGTCCCACATCCCAGTGTCCATCCCAGGATTCCGATGCCCATATCCCAGTGTCCATCCCTATCGCACATCCCGGTGTCCATCCCCGTGTCCCACATCCCAGTGTCCATCCTGGGATTCCGATGTCCATGTATCAGTGGCCATCCTGGTGGCCATTCCGGTGTCCATCCCTATTGCACATCCCGGTGTCCATCCCCGTGTCCCACATCCCAGTGTCCATCCTGGGATTCCGATGTCCATATATCAGTGTCCATCCCTATTGCACATCCCGGTGTCCATCCCCGTGTCCCCCCCGTGTCCATCGCTGTGTCCTCCGTGCCAGTGTCCGTATCTTGGTGTCCATCCTGGTGTCCCTATCCCAGTGTCCATCCCCATGTGCCACATCCCTGTCCCCCATCCCAGTGTCCCTGTCCCGATGTCCCCCATGGCAGTGTCCCCCCTGTCCATCTGTCCATCCGTGTGTCCGTCTGTCTGTCCCAGGCGCACGGTGCAGGACCCGCAGACGGGGGCGGAGCTGCGTCTGTATCCGTGTGTCCGTGTGTCCATGTGTCCATCCGTGTGTCCATCCGTCTGTCCATCCATAGGCGCACGGTGCAGGACCCGCAGACGGGGGCGGAGCTGTATCCGTGTGTCCATCTGTCCATCCATGTGTCCATCTGTCTGTCCATCCATAGGCGCACGGTGCAGGACCCGCAGACGGGGGCGGAGCT